GATATTGAATATTTTGCTTCAATGACTATTATATTTTCCACCGCAGACTTTTCTGAGAAACTGAACACTTTTAGGGTAAAATACATTAGTCATTATATATATATATATATATATATATATATATTAATGATTAAGACACTATCTAAAGTTTGACATTGTTAAAAACCAACTTCGCAAGCCTCTATCCTGACTCGACTTAGTTAGAGATTAATATTAATTAACTTTATATAATTTTTGAACATTATGAAATAATGTCAAACAACGAGAGTTTTTTCTTTTATATAACTATACTGTTATCGTTTATTACTGACTTTCATTATAAATAATATTGTATTAATAGTGATTGAACAAAATTATAATTATAAGAATTTATATAAAATAATAATTTTTACACGAATATTAAATATAAGTGTTATGTAACAATACCGAAAACATTTATTAGTTAGAAGTGAAATAGCGTTTACTTAACTACCGTTTAAAAGTATAATAGCGGCGTCGATCGTGTGGTGCGGTCCAATTAAGTTAAAGGGAGATGATATTATTAATATTTATATTTGTCAAGTTAACAAAAAAAATAACATTATAAGCGGAAATGGAGTAATATGATGGGGAAATGGGAACTAAAAAAGAAGTTCTATCTGACGACGACGAAGACGAGTATATGGACAGTTCGGCAACAGGTATGTAAACCTATAGTGTTGTTCCTGTTCAAAATTAAGGTATCAATATAAAAATCCCAATACCTGAAAATTATGACAAATTCACAAATTTAGTAAATAACACATCAAAACAAAATATACAAAGAAGATGCAGAACGCAATATATCTCGGGAATGAGGACAGAGAACAAGGAGCTACTAGAAGATTACATTAGCCAATTTAACGATGATCCCTTTGGCTGTGCCGAAGAAACAATTACCACCGGAGAAATTTGAATGGCAAAGCTATTAGAACTTCGGATAACAAACCAAAATATGGCTATTAGAAATGTACTATTATTCTAATGTTCTATTATTCATTTTTGCGAATAATAAAATATTTACTATTTTTTTTTAATTGGTTAATATAAATAAAAAACTAATTATCAAGTACCCGATGACGTTTTAGTTTCTATTCTATATACCACACCACAAGTGTCGGAGAAAAGAGACATCCGAGTGACATTTTCATTTAATGTGCTCGAAAATCAGTCCAAACATTACAGCAGGCTTTGTTGGGCAATGTTTCTTAATAATATAATATTATTTGTAATGGAGCCCAGGGTATAGGAGGATTTTAGGGCTAGATCAGTAATAATTAAACACAACTTTTCGACGATTTTCTGTTTTTATTAAACATAAGAATAAAACAACGATAACGTGGGTTCTCTAAGAAATTACTCAAGTGGGGTCCGGTATCCACAGATTCGCATCAAAGCGTTTTTGCATCGATCCCTCTTTGGCAATTTCTTATTGTGCCGGTTTGAACTGTGCTTAGTTAAGAATGTTCTGGTTTTTGCTGTGCTGAATTCTTACTATTTCCAGAACCGCATCATAGCGTTAGATTGTTTTAAAACACATTCGGATTTAATAACGTTAATGATTATTGATTAAAAAAGTAAAAAACGCTGTTTTTTTACTATAGTTGTTTTAGGAAAAATGTATAAAAAAAACTTTACCTATTTCTGTATAGTGTTGTACATTGCGATGTGTCAATTAATGACTGTGTAAGCTGAAATCTTATCTTGCGTTATTTAAATTGCTCGAGAACATTGCTGAAACGTATAGTAAGCGAACACCTCAAAAAGCAAATCTCAAAGTGTAGGTATTTTCGGGATAGTTTACTAAAGCAGAGTTTCGTTTTACAACAATAGATTATACACATAAAGGCAAAACTTGAAATAAACTACATCATCATAGTAGTATGGTTGTGTACGATATCATGTTATACCTACATCAGTGTTACATTATATCTGGAGAAAATTACTAACAACAAGATGTATAAAACGTTTACACTTATCATTTTTCCAGAGCAATTAACGTAAATACAAAGTGAACCTATACCATTATGATTCTATATATATGCTTTGCGAAAAGCAAAAATATACTTGTTGTCGGCATTTTCCAAAATCGAGTGATTTTTAAACAGTTGAGACCTGCAACATCTCTGTAAGTATGACTAAAATGTAATGCGACTTTGTAGTCGGCCGACAACAGGTTCCTTTTCGCTTTTTGCATCACATATATGGAATTTTAAGCGCAATAGTATTTTTATTAGTCTTCAGCTATAGTGAAGAACAACTCCGAAGAAAATATACATTCCGAACTTTATTATTTGATTTGTATATAGTATGTGACTTGAATTGTTATTTTTATTTATTTGAATTTCCAAAAATGTTTTAGAGTGATATTGCTTTATATTGGTTTTCAGTACGATGGAATGTAAAGTATTTATATGTTTTTTTTTATTTTACTGTATCACTTGACGTTCAACATTTTGCCATACTTAAAATAGCTAAATACTCTACAAAAATGTGAAAAGCCTTTCCTCATTTCGAAATATTTCATTTTTGCAGTATTATATCGCAATATTACAGTAAACATAAAAAAAAATCCGTACAGACACTGTTTTTTTTTTTATTATTATAAAATCACATATTATTTTTCACCTTCGTTGGAATTTAACTGCAATTTTAAAATACTGAAATTATTTATTGAAAACATCTTTAAGTTGTACTATAGACTACAATACATATAATTAATAATATCAATGCAAATTGGTAGCCAAATAGTAATTTCAAGAAAAAAAATTATAAAATATGTATAAAAATTAAACTTTATGGAGTTTTAACAATTATAAAATAACAATTTTACGCATACATTTAGACTGTATTAATTCAGTAGTTAAAAATGTGTTGCAATGTTTTCAGAGAAATGTCGTTTTACTAACAATATAACTATATAATAGTTATTTGAATTAAATTTATGAAAAACATTTTAGTTAATATAAAAATTTACTATCGCAATTTCTAACTTTATTTATGTTATTTTATAAGGAACCTAATAGTATATTAAAGCTGTATCATGAAACTAATTAATTTGGTTAATGAGGTTAATAAACTTTTCAGACTTTACCTATTTCCTGCTAGGAAAAAAAAGTAAAATATGTTGTTCTATTTATTATAATTGTCATTCAGTTTTGAATCAATAAAGGAGTCGTATCATAAACTGTCATCATTATAATAACCAAGAAAAGGATTTATTTGTATTAATCATTAAAATGTAAAATTATTATATTTTCGACTCCGAATTAAAACTATAAAACATGAGTGAATGAAACTAAACACTTTAAAATGTTGTTTATATATTGTTATGCAAAATATGTTAAATCTTAACTGCTATATAAGATAAACAAAAATAACACAGCAAGCCTAAACTTACAACGCATTAAGAGAAACTTTCTGAAGGATGTTTTTAAATAAAATATTCTAGCCTAAAAAAATTCTCAATTATCCAAAAATAGTTTTTAAAAAATTTAAACGACCCTTACAACACTATGATCACCGGTATATTTTTATAGGAAACTCTCATTTTAATCCTAAATTATTTTTAATTTTACCAAGTTCCTAGGAGTCTTTTTGGAGTGGACGTGCAGAGACAATAAAGAGAGTGGCTTAGGAACTCCTTGAGAATCATATGTCTCCCAGTTTGGACTTTTCTGGATATACAATGGATGCGTATTTACTGTGAAGGAAGTAAACAGAGGGAAAAGTTGAAAGTTTGTAACTTTCACGAGTCAACAAAGCCACAATAAATCTACTGATGTCTGTAACTTGACTGGTTAACTAACATTGAATAATAATCTTATAGCAGTAAAACATTTAGATCAACCTAAAATCAACGTGATTCGACTTGACGGAGCGATATATTATAGCGATATATTAGCGGCTTCAGGTAACAATAATTACATTTTAAAAAACAAATACAACATTGTGGTAATAGTATATTAGCTATACTCATGTATAACCTCTGATAGTGTAAGCGGTGGCATGGCTAATTAACTCGCGCGTGAATCCCAACAACAATACGCGTTCAACTATATCATTGTAACGCTTTATTTGATCAAACTGTGATGATTGATTTATTTCCACTAATTTTTTTGGCGATCGATTGATTAATGTTTACTTTTTTGGTCGGACGATTAAATAATATTTAGTCAGTCACATATTTCAATCGAAACGTGGTGAATAATATCATTTCAACTACCGCGGTGACCTCGAAATGCTCGATGGATCATCGATTAATCGAAAATCAAGTGATTGATGACCAACGCCGTTCTAAATTACGTTGTTGCGAAAATTTGCCTACACCGAACGCCTTAATATGGACCGGTAGCGCGCGTGTGGCTTCTGTGTTGTTATTTTGTGGTTTTCTCCTAACGCGTCCGAGCAATACCGACGAGAGCTCGACGGAAAGACGTACAACGCACGTCGTCAGTGGATTATACACGTGAGCCGAGACCGAACAAAAGCGACGACCCGCGTCCACGCGTTAAGAACTGTCGTCGGTTCGGTTGGGATTGAGCGCAAACTCGTAATTGCACTTACAGCGTGTGTCGTTTTTCTAACATTATAAGCTTTAATCTCCAATGTACACACTTATATACATGTATACATACACCCAGGGACACGTCTGGACCGCGACCGGCTCGGCACAAAGTGCCACACACACACACAAACACCGGCCCGGCTAAGTGGGCGTTTTAATTTGTCACATCGGTCGTGAACGGTTTTCTAAAATCCTGGTAGGACCAGCTGCTGGCTGTTGCCGCTGACCGTTTTCCACGGTACACGGAGACGCGGTCAAAGGACGTTCAAAGGCGACCAACGCGGGGCCAAAGCGAACGACCGTGGACAAAAGTGATCCGTCGCGCCCAGCAAGGTACATAACACGACTGCGTTATAACCGCGTACACGGTACACACTACGCTGCCCTTGTTGCATTGTGCGTGTCGCTACCGACGGTGCTTTAGTATCGCGCCGCCACCGCACCGAACGGACTTGCCATTACAACGTTCACGCCGCCGATGCCGTGTCGCGCCCGCCGCTGTTAGGGTCCGTCCGTCACGTGCTACTGTCCGCCGTCTCTCTGCAACACCGTTGGCGTGTCCGCCGTTGAGGTATTTTGAAATTATGTATTTTTCGCTTCTTAGACACCCCCCTCCCCCCCCCTCGACCCTCTGTAAACGAACGAGCAACGTAGATATTTTACACTATCGTCAGGGCACACCGAAGAAATCATAATAAATATTATCTATACATGACTAACGTTCGAAAACGTATTCGACTACCAATTTTGGTCGACTGCGCCGTGTCGATTTTCGAATAACTAATCAATTATTAATCGCCAAATCACAGTGACAAACGATAAAAATTAAAAAAATATTTATGGAATTTTAGCGATCGACGATCATTTCTACTTATGCCTTCGGGGACAAACAAGTGCGGGAAAAAAGAAATGTACTATACATACAAGTTGTTATGAAATTAAGTTATATAAATGTTTAGCATTATTTTCAAATTTGTTTAAGATTTGTTGTTAGTTTAACTTATGGGGTGTACTAAACCCCAACACACTAAGGACGGGAAAAACTGGCAACACACTAACCAAGGGTCAACGATTATAATATTATTTATTTATTTCGTAAGTATATCCGTAATAAAAATAAAATAACACTCGAACACTACGGTCTTCGTGTTGTTGTTTATCAATGATAATGTCCGTACATTTTAATTTCTATTATTCCAGAACGCGATTGAATTTGAAGTACATGTTTTAAAATAAAAAAGTAGTTTTTTCGTCTAATATTTAGAAAACTTTTAGCGATCGAAAACGTCGAGAGATACGAGAAAAACAACACATCATTTTTAGAACTACTATAAATAATAAAATATAACCATTTATTGTTACTAGAACTTTTTTAAATAATTTATATACAATAAATACAACGCTTAAAAAATGGACTTATTTCCGCTTTTACTCTGTTTCTTTGACTATTTTGTTACTTATTTTATACAAAACAAAAAACAATATAAATGAATATAAACACAAAAATTTACCATTCGCGTTGAAATTCAGAACTGATTGACAATTAAAAACGATACGCTTGTATCTGAATTCTAAGAATTTCAATTGTTAGTATTGCGGTGATGTTTACCGTTGACACTAAAATATTAACATCAAAAAATTACAATTTCGTATGATAATGGATGAATAAATAAATTGTGATTTGAATTTTTAATCAAAAGCTTTTTTTTTTTTTGTTTTACAATGTCGGAATTAATTAATTTCATTTAATAATCATATTTTAACAATGTAATAATTTATAAAGTAAGGTTGAATAATTAGTTATAAATTTGCATATTAAATACTCATGAACAAGCTACGATTGTTTTTTTACTTTACAATTCAGATTAAATTAAAAACAGCTTGTAACGAATATGTTTCACAAGACGGCAATTTTTAACCGGAATCGTAACTTTTAATGTCTTTTATTCACTTAGTTTTGTTTTCATTATATTAAAATATATTGTATTAGTACATAAATTATTATTGGTAATTATTTATGCGACTGAGAAATAAATATGAACATATTATATAATAACCAGTCATGGTTTACTCAGAAACGATTAATTACACCTTTTAATTAATATAAATAAACTAATTACCTTGTATTTATAAATAAATTATTTTTATTAGCTGACCATTACTTTGGAAATAATTTGAGGAATATAACTTAACATGGAATTTGAAGATTGCTTTAATTTTATTTTCTAGATAATTAAAAAAAATAAACGTAATCTTTGAGGATATTATTTAATAATTGCTAATTCGTTGAGATATAAAATTAGAAATTTCAGTTTTAGCTTAGAAAATTATAGGTACTTACAGAACTGTAGTTAGTTTTCAAAATAGTTCTGTTGGTTTTTTTTAACAAACTAGTGTCTAGTGCTGCGGTAGTATTTTAATATAGCGTCAAAATGTTTTTGAAGAAAAATAGTCGGTACAGTAATAACTTCTTTTATAGTTTTGAAGTGTTTGAACGCTTAACACTCTGGCTAAATCGTGAATATATTATAACAGCCACATATTACAAAATAAACAAATAAAACAGTGAACGGTAGAGATAAAGAAATAAAGAGGAAATCCAAACGGCCGTGCACTAGCTTTGTAGTACAATAAAATCATATTTGATCATTTTAGCGGGAAATGTGACAAAATTAAAATTTCGACTTTTAATAAACAGCATTAGTGTTTTTATTTTAAATTGTAAATATTTCACGATGTTATAATACCGGTACTCATATATTTGCATTAATTGTATTTGGAAAACAGATACTACATAAATGATACTAAACAAACTGAATGTATAGTAATATCCACTGATATATTACTCATTCAGTTATATTTGCATATAAGTAAGAGCCATTTTAAACAAGTATTATAAAATCATGTTAGCATTACATCCACGGGTGCATTTTGTTTATTTACAAGCTCATATAATCATTTTTTATGTTTCTCCCTGTAGATTAGCTGCAAGAGTTCGGTAACTTTTGTCCAGTGGTCAAAACACATTATGTTTAGCGTTATTATGTATATTTTAAAACATTCAATTTTTAGCGTAAAATAATTTATTTACATAATTAATGTTTGATTTCCTCATAATGACCCTATAATCAAAATTATATTTAAGAACTCACTCGAGAAACATAAAAAACTTTTTTTTAAATATCATTAAAAATAGATTTCCTTGCTACAGCCCATAAAAATAAGACACTTATAATGTAAGGCTTCATCATTTTATACTTAAGAGCCATGTAATTTGAATGAAAAACTAATAATACGTCTATCTAAACTTGTGTTTCCAAATCGTTTCGTTATAAATTTAATTTAGGTCTTCAAAAAAAAAAAAAAAATTATAGATAAAAAAATTGACACTTTTCATACGTGTGCTCTTTTTATAGCAATCCCGTGACATTCCGTATCAAATAAGTAAATAACTGAATTCAAATTACAATTATGTCATCTTTGATACATTTAAATATGGCATGCTAATATCTATAATAATAATATCATATATTTAACGATACTGTATAAACAAATGATATCTATACCGAATAATGAATATACACAATAGTTATGGACGATGCATAGAAACACCTGACAAAAACAATAATATATTTCACGGATGAAAATATTAAAAAAAAAAGCACAGGAAAATAATAAACGTCCTATATTTTATTTCAAATATATTATACATATAATATCCGACATTTTATATTTTTGTTGAAATGTCAATAACACTTTATTCCCATTATAGCCGTTCGAGTTGTTTTGGTTTCTAGTAATAACTGTAAATGTAATAACTAAAAGTTACAAAAACAAAATAATTAAGAAGAATATTTTATTAAAAAAAATGATTACTATACAGAGTAATTCATTGTAAGCCCCCAATAGTCATAACAGATGACTTAGATAAAATGTTATATATATATGCTACAAGTTTTTACAATTACAGTTGTCTAATGTTACATGTGTAACTACGTATAAGGTTCCATTGCTGATGAAAAACGTCATTCGCAATAGACGCTATTGATTTTTACCACAAATAATATCCTACATACCTATGTATATAAATACAATAATTGTAAAGCTGTACAATATCTTTACTTAATCTTTCCAAATACATTTGTTTTTTAACAAAGCATTATGATAAACATGTAAGAACAGATTAATTAATTATTATTATCTAAACCACTGTAATGACAATACATTATAATTTATAACGATAGTTAAAAAAAAAATAATATTCCACAACTGTTAGTATTATTCTTTTAGTTAATATGTAATTTGCATAAAACTAATAAGAAGTACGGTAAATCGGTTAGAAAAATACTTATTTAAATTTTTATTCGAGGTAGTCTTCATCGAATATTTAAAAAAAACATTTATAATATTTTAATTTATAACTTAGCTGCACGAAAACCATTATTTCTTGAAATATTCCTGCTTATTTTTCAGTGTTATAAAGAACGTAATTTATTTTACAAAAATTAATATAATTTAATAAACTCACATTTTTAAGTTGTAAATTATCTTGCAATCTTCAATTTTATTTTTTGTTTTAAACATATTTGATCCAGTTTATATTTTTCAATTATTGTTATACTTCCTAACTTAAATAAACTTGTTTGATTCCTCAAGATAAATTAAAATAGGTTAATTCAAATAAAACTTTCAGTTTTAACGGAAATCCTAGTTCGAATACACCTAAACAATTCAAGTTTTCAATATTTTTGTATCAGTTATTGCTCTGCTATATTACCAAAGATAATATAAAAAAAAAACACCAATTGAGTACATACTTAACTGAGAATTTTAGTAACATAAATTTATAACTATTTTTATATCCAACAAAAAAAATGTAGAGTACTTAATTATAGTTTCATCGAACCTTATAGAATCCTGAAAGAAATGGTAACATAAGACCAAGCAAATAAATATAATATTTAACTAAAAATTAAATTTTTTAAATTTCAAAAGGGCTTTTGAATACATAGTCATATACTTATTTATAAATATTATTATATAGTCTTCGATATTCTAAAATTGTTAATTATTTAAAAATCTATATTAAATATTACATTGAGGTATAATATTCTGTACTTGGACAATGAAGTATTGCGCATACCTTTGCAAGGTATTATTAAATATACACATTTTATAGCCTAGTAACTAAGTGGAAAGGAAGAAATGAGAAATTCCAAATTTAAAATCGATAAAGCGGAAAGGGGGGGGGCAAGGTTTTAATCAGATTATAATGGTCGGTACTATCCATTTATTTTGTTGAAAACAATGACGATATTACATTATAATTAATTTAATGGAAATAGTTCTTGAATTTTGCTACATAGTTGTATTATAAATTGTACGTTTTTTAGTTACTTAAGTTAGGATAGGTAGCTTCATACTAAGTTCTTTTAAATGATAGTTAAGCAAACTTGTAGCTCATTAAATGCAACAATATACTATTAGCAATGTTGAATTGAATTAAAAGCCTAATTATTTCAATTACTAGATAATTAATTTACAATTTTGTGCTCCATTGTTTATGTATAATTTCGTGCACATAAAGCTTCAAGAATTAATCTTAGCTTGGTCCCCCTTGCTTCCCGTTAGTTAGTTATGTGCACAGAGAAAATATCTTAAGTTATTTGTTGTATCTTTTTTATATTTATATGCGAATAAAAAAAACCCAAATAAATAATAAATATTAATGCAGGCCAGAATATTGTTGATTTATACACATTGTTACTATAAAAGAATTTCATTCTCAAACTTCCTTGATTTTAATTGTTTTTGTCGGTTTTTTTTATAGAACAAAAATACGTTAGAACTTTAAACAATCACTTTTTTAACAAACAAAAAAATAAATCTCACTCCATTTTTTATCTGATTATTATTTATATTTTTTTCGACTTAACGAGGCTCTGTTAAATGACTTATTCGACATGAAATGAATTGTTTCCAAAAATTATATGCAGCAAAGCCAAATTATTATTTTTCAAACAAGTGTTGATTTATTCGATAGTTTTTAATAGGTAATCAAATTTATATTTTTAAGACGTTGAGTATTGATTATTATTTTTTTATGTGTTTAGGGGGTAATAAAGACAATTTTTAACAAAATATTTTCTCGACATTATTTTATATATTATAAAAATATGTGATGTAATATTATGTCAATTTGTAAGAGTAAATAAATAACATAAAATGGCGCGTATTAGCTTGCCCCGAAATCTATTTTGCTATTATCTAGCTATAGCATTTTTGATTAACAACTAAGTTTACTTGCCCAACGGTTTCAATAATTTATTGTATTTTAATTATATTTTTTATACAATTATGAAACTTCTTTGTAAGATTTTACGGAACTGTCGGATTATAGTTTTTAAAATTATTTTACTACATTAAAAATCACTCCGAAAGACACTTAAATATCATGCTTTAACAAGATTTTACAGCTTAAGAATAAAATGAAATTTTCGGGGATCGTTTGAGCAAAATACATTAAACTTATAATGTAAAAAATAAATGTGATAAATATTGAAGCCACGAGAGATTACTTCAAACCGATTTTTAGCATATCCCCTTAAATGTATTTGTTTTTTCTTTAGTTGTTGACTTTTTTTATAAACTCTATTACAGTGAACATGATAATTTCATTTTTACTTATTATAAAAAAGTGCATTATCATATAATTCCGCGTCTACCAAAACGTCTTCAAAATGTTTATATTTATTATTTCTACTTTTATTATGCCATATCAAATTATTAATGTGTAGAGTTACCAGTTTTCTCTTGGCGGCTAACATATTTGGCACGTCCATGAAAGGTTTTAATATTATTAAAATAACTAATAATTGTAATATGTTTTTTCTCGTAGAGTTTGTTTTAATTATATTTATGTGAAATAAATTATGACTGTTTTAAAACATGTGGTGAGAAGTAATATATTTATATTTTATATGCGTATTAGTTCTAGAGAACATTAAAAAATGAATGAAGCATTAGTTTATTAACATTTCAGAGATCTTTTAAGGAATTCCCTTTTTCCGGCAGTTAATATACACTGAACGCTAAACTTTCCTGTTGAATTTTTGTTTTTGAAGATTATATTATATTGCATTGAAATTAATACGATGGTGTTCTTTTGAAATCCACGATAATTTACTTAAAAGAGATCAAATGGAATAACTATAGTTTTTCAGTCGACATCTTTATGTAATTAATTTTTTTAAAAATATATTGTCTTCATACCGGGCGAATGTCTTATATTTTGTATTTTTTTTAAGTAAAAACGAGTACTTGAAAATATATGTTTAACTCCCACCAAAAGATAATAATATTATACTCGAGATAGTTTTTTGTACGGTTCCATCTGTGTATACAATCATTTTTCTGAAACAGTGAGTGTGAACATACATATATTCATATAATAAAAAACAGCTGATACCATGAACGATATTCGTAATTTGTACTATACTCCCTGGATATTGTCATAATAAACCGTTTATATTATTTGAAAATTGAATTGTAACGAGAAATAGGATGTTTTTTTTATATGTAATATTCTGTACGTATTTGTATCAGGACTTGGATATTGAATCGTAGTGATAAAATTATATCGTTCGTAATAAAATATCTCTACATTTTAGTTTCGACAACAGCTGTAAAATTTATTTTTACAGAGTTGTGTTTTAGACGCGTTTTTTTTTTTGTGAAAAAATGTCTCTAAAAATCCAGCTGAAGCTATTTATTGAAAATCGCCCTTCCAAAGTTGTATTTTTTTCTAAACTCATATTTAATTATTGTGTCATAAGCTTACACGTCAAAAACGCCACATACATAACCTCGGTATTTCGTTTGAAGTGTTACTATAAATGTTTATACTGCAATAAAAAAAAAAAAAAAGCATGTTAATAAATTATTTATTATATTATACATCGATAGGGTAAATTATATGGAAATTAGTTTCATTTTCAACACTAAAATAACATATAACAAATATTGACCTATACAGAACGTTTACTCGTGCCATTTTTTCAACGTCTCATTTTTAAAAGAAGTATAGCTCCCAAATATATTGCTTTGAAAAGGTAATGTATGTTGGTAAACTTGGGATGTTAAAGAGACATGGGATACTCGAGAAATATTTTTTCTTTTCTTAAACTTTTCAAAACGAATTTATATATATATATATATATATATATATGTGTTTTAAATTTTAAACGCACATAACTTTTCGATCTTTCAGACTCAGTTCGAATTTGGTTCAAGATTAAAGGGATTTCATATAGCTAAACGCGCAAGCCCTTTTTCCAATACCGGTATGTTTCTTATAATAATATTACACTTCGGATACCATTTATAATTGAAAAACTTTTCAAAGAAACATAAATAAATGCCATAATAATAACAACAACATACGATTAAAATAAAAAAAAACATAATACTTCAAAGTAATTACGTAAACTATCATATTTTGGTTGAAGTTGCTTTTTCGAGGGGAAAAGTTGGACCCTTTCAACTTTTGACCCAGTACTAAGAACATGTACCTAGTTTATTGAGCTAAATATTAATATGCTCAATCCTTTCCCATTAAAACCGAGAAAGACACCTAAAATATTTAACTTAACTGAGAATTATGTATTTTTCATAGGTAACCAGTAACCTCTGACAATCCATGAGTTATGAAAAATTTGAAAATAACGCAATTATATTCACCTTATAACTCAAGTTAACGCGACTATTATATTAGAGATTTCGAATGTAAAAATAATACAATGTAAAAAGAGTACCTATAATAATTAAAGCCGTTATTGAAATGTTTACACTAATGTATCATTTATTTAAAGGAGTGCAAAATTAAATTTGCTTAAACATTCCCAAATAGGTCGTACTGAAACTGTGTGAAAGCTTTTTATGCTACTATAATATTTTATCTCGCCATTTTCACTCCGAGAATTATTTAAATAATTTTCCTGACCAAGATTACGCCTTTAGCGAGTCTTAATTAGCCTAATTTTACAAGGTAAATTATATCACCAAGATAATGCGGGTTTTCACGAGAGAAGCTGTACAAAACATAATAACATGGACAACGCTGCTTTAATTAAAATAAACGTATCGTGTTGTAAGATCCAAAGTCCAAATTAGATCATCTAGAATTAAATTATTTAACAACTCTTTATTTACTTCATCGTTAATATTATACTATATTAAACAACGAAAAAACTTTATTTTTATGTAATGTTAAAAGGTTTTTTACAAGATTGAAGTTAATGTTTCATAAATAACTATTATTAAAGTAAACGTTATATTGAAACAAATATATCCAACGACTTTGAAATAATATTTATTTTACAGCGAGTAATATGCCAACGTCATATGTTTATGCAATTTTTATAAATTTTGAGTTTTTATTATTATTTAGAATATTAATACTCAAATGTAATATGATAAACAGAAAAGAAAACTACATTTTAAGTTATAATTAAACAAGCTGACAGATTATAGAACATTTTTTATATTTTTTTCATATTACTGTACGTTCTAAATAAATGCTCTTTCGAAAAACAAATTAGTAGGCACAGTTGGTTAAAGTAAATGAGCTTTTATAATTTTTACATTTAACGCCTTTCCGAAGTTATAAGGTATTATGAGAAATTTGAAATTACGTTATTGTTAAACATCAGTAACTAATACCAATCTAAAACTTTTGGACAGAAAATACTATTCAAGTAATCTATAATTTAATTAATCTGGTAAGTACAAAATTTAAGTTTGTATTTACTAAAATTGTAAAGGTTTGTAACAAAATGAAATTTATACACCTCTTGCAAAGTAACTGATCGAATTTTCTAAAACACCGAGTTAATATATACAGTCAAATAGTTTTAGAACAAAATATGTAACTTTGAATATACCTTTTTTTTTTTCTCGATACGAATGAGAAACCAGGGTTTTTCCAAATAAACCGAAAAAGCCTTTGGCACGTGAAACATATTAGTTAACTTGCGTTGGCCTTGAATCTCGTCTTTTGACTTCCAAAAGCCACCATATAGCATAATGGTAGTATTATTCGCGTTTTATGGTCACTAATGTGTGTCACACTGTGTGAGATAATGGCCACGTTTCCAGAGGTTTTCTAGCAATAAACTGTATTGTAAGCGGTAATTTATTATACCATCAAAACCAAAGGGATTTTGTATCGATTAATTTTGATTCAGAAACTATTGTTTTCGACTTAGATCACGCTTAATTAAACGTCTGTTGGTGATAAATTATGATAATCCAGTGGCAAACGCTCAGCCCAAGTGAATATCAAGTACACCAAACAAAAACGAAACTTTGACGGCTATCTACATGCGATATTCTTTTAAAAATATATACAGAAATATGTATAAAAGCGATAACGGTAAAAGTTGTGACTACAACAATTACTAGCATATTTCTGAATTCCTTCTCTAAAATACGAGGTACTGTCAATAAATAAAAAGTTAGTCTTTTAACAGTAATTATAAAATTTTAATTATTTCAACCCATAGTTTGTGATTTGAGAAACTCTTATTTTTATACCGCTTTAATCATCATAATAGATAACATGTTTTCAAACCATCAAATACAGGTACCTATTTTAAAAAGAAAAATACAAAAATTATTTGAAAGTTGTATTTTTTCGGTTTTTAACACCAAATATGTATTACAAAAAACAATAACATCTTGTAGTAGATGTATTATTTAGATGAAAACAATACAGCTAATGTAAGACCATTTTTTTATCCGTTACATAAATTATGCCACAGGATAACCATTAACAATATATTTTATTTGAATCCCACAACGGACTACCGCAAGAAAGGTTCCCGGCCAAATTATCTAGAAGAAGTATATTAAGCAAAAACAAAAGGGCGCTAGTCTTCCTCCGCTTTAGGCAATATTTTTGTGTACATTTGCATACATGTACTTGGTCGCATTAGCTGGATACTGGAAACCTAAGTTTGTTTCAAATGTTTTTTTTTAGTCCCGGTCAACTCTTTTACAACCTGTAGGGCAGCAGTACAGGAGTCCAGTCTAGACTAACAGCAATAATAGTTACCTTAAATGTTAAAATGCTTATTTGAATATGTAAACGAGACCAATACAAATGTATATATATATATATATATATATATATTTATATATATATATTATAATATTTGTGTGTGTGAGTGTGTGTGTATGTATATGTTTGTGTGTACACTATGTAGGTTAAGCACACAAAGTTTATTTAGAAATTGTTATAACTCTGAAACTAAAGTTTAATCAAATCCCAAGGTGAACACCAAAATTGACATTTTACAAATAGGTGTGATTTGTAAAATTCATTTTACAGAGATATATAATAATAAGAGTAAAAACACATTAGGGTTTGTGATTGTTAAAAGTTTTCGAAAATAAAAGTAAGTAACGTTCGAAAACTCAAAACAAAGTTAATTCATTTTAAGGGTTAGGTTGGTTTGCCATTTTTGTATAAAGGTTAGGTATCAAGATTATTTCTATTTCATAATAAATACAATTAAGCTTAAAGATAAAACTTCTAACGCTCGGAATTTTCATTCCCATGCAGTTTATAAAAATAATAATGAAATTCTCCATTTTCAAGTATTTTATATAAATTGAAGATAAAAATAAATAATAATAAATATCTTACCACATATTTATCACACATAAAACATGAATTAGTAACAAAATCTCAAAATCAGTAAAATTTTTGAGCAAATCAGATTAGTCAGTAATCAACCATAATTAAAAATTCTTCTTTGCTGTCGAAACTTATTTCACACTTTTTCCGGCTAGAAAATGAACAGTATCGCCAGAAATAAGAGAAAAGTAGTAAGTAACTTTATACTGCCTACTCTGATTTTCTAGCAGGTTTAGTAAATATATCCCCCATAAGAATCCATCTATTTCTTGAAAAGTGTCTCTTTTGTTTAATCTTCTATGTTAGTACTTTCGCGCCAGTATCTTCATTCGAATAAAATGCCCTACAACGGTTTGTCCGTTCGAAAAGCCTACCGCAATGATTTCCACACATTAACAACCTGTAAGAGGAATTTATCTTCGTTATCAAATTCACCGGTTCACACTGATAAAAGAGTAAAAAAAATAAATCATCTCCAAATCGATTTGTATCTTTAGCGGTAAATGACAAAACCAATGATGATGAATTACATAATACAAAAGCTTTTAAATTAAGCCCATGGTTATTATTTATGAACTCAATCAATTCCAGCGGGATCCATTGGAATACATCCCCATCCGATTCACAATAAAAATGTTACAGTCTTAACTTCACTACAAAGAAAATTAATACTTATCACGGACGACAATAATTTTCCATGTAGAACCACTAGGTCCACTATGATTATTCAAACCAACAAAAGTGAGTCTTATAGACAATAAAATGGTGTTCTTAAATTTATTGGCCTATAAAATTCACACATGTTTCTTTCACGTAGCTTAAATCGTTACCGAGTCGTGATAAGATAGTTCTATCATTCTACGCCTATCTCCGATGATATGGCTGCATAAATCACTCTTGGCTCGAGTGATCAACGCAACGAAAAGTAAAATTGCTTTTCCGCTATTCTTTATCGGTCTTAATCCAACTGATTCAGTACACTCCTCTCTAAAATATAATCTACAATAGTTTTCTTTTTTCTTTCCTTCCTCTCTCTCAGATTTAATATTTTTTTGTTAACTTCAGAATAAATTAACAATGTTATTGTTGGTTGTAGTTTATATGCACTATATTATACATACATTTCATTTCATATCATAATTGTTACTATACATTCATTTATCATTGTTGATCTATAATTTGTTTTAAACGAAAGTTAATAAAATAATAATATCTATAACAGAATGTGAGATTTGTCTACATATTTACATTCTGTGTTTTTTGAGTATCAATAAAAAATATGTAAATACATTTTTTAGTTAATATAATAATTATAGCAGTATAGAAATAAAGTTATTAACTATTATTTAAAATAAAATAATGAATATTGACACGTTATTTGTACACAGTTTGTGTACATACAAGTGCATAGTACACAATTCATAAATATGATACTTAATACTAAACAATTTTTACCCTTTTACTAAAAGGTTTTTTTTTGTATAATAACAATTCACAAAAACAACTATTGAAAAATGTTCGTAATATCATATTTCTGCAAGCATGTGGATTGAAATTGCAAAAAAAATTAAAAACTGTAACTGTTTGGTACAATTGCAGCGACTATGAGTTGATGTATGCTCTTTTATCATTAATTGAATTAGC